TGTGTATTTCACTAATAATAGGTTAGTTTTTGCCTAATACGGATCAACTCTCAATTCAAGTGCTATAAAGGAATGTTATAATCGATATGAACTTCAATGTGTAGGACTGTGAAAACTTTTTTCTGCATGAAATCGTTGGTCAACTACAGTTTTATGTACTAGGGCTAAAATGATTCACTTGGTGGCTGGTAAAATAAAATATTTCTGGCGTGGCATGGCACTACGCTTCAGCATGATATGGTTGTCTTTGGTCCTTAACCATACCAAGCGGGAAGGAGGAAGGATTGGTCATATATTTAACACATAATAGTGTCAACAATGGAATCAATATAATTGGATGCCAAGTATATTTCATAAAGGCAGATTAAGAAAGGTCAGCTTTTGTGCCCTCGGGGTTTAAAAAGGGAAAGAGAAAAGGATCATCTATTTTCTTGTCTTTATGTTATAACCCAGGGACAACTGCTCCCCAAAAGCTAGCTATTAAAGTGGGAAAACCAAATCTATAAATACCCCACATCTGCACTTTGTAGTATCGATGTGGAACTCTGCAATGGACCATAACAAACCACCACGCTCCACATCTGTCTTCCTTGCGTCACCATCCAAGGCACGAACATGAAGGGCGGTGGGTGGCTCTAATTCCATTGTTATAACCTTAGGGAGAACCACACCCCAAAAGATAGCTATAAAGGTGGGATAGCCCAAGGCTTTACATACCCCACATCAGCACTTTGTAGTACTGATGTGGAACTTTGTAATGGATGAGAATACTTTATCCAAAAAAAAAGGATCATGAATGTGCTTTCTGGCATAACCAAAATATAAGAGCAATATAATGGAATGAGCAAAAGCTTTCTAACTGCTCTACAATTCGAAAGTGGAAATAAATTTGTTTTGCCTGCATAAAGAATGCCAGATTATCTTCTTGGCACTCTATCAAAACCACATAATTTTGCAGGAGATAGATAAAACTCAGTTGTAAAATACAACCACACCGAACAATACCTATCATGGACCTCTAGAGAAATTGAGATTAAAGAACAATGAAAAGGTTCTGAATTCAGCTGTTGTGAACTAGTGAGGGACTCCTCTAGTAGTTAAGGAGTTATAGTGGTGTTGTAAGTTCACGGGTTATTGACTTGTCTACTCTTGATAGAGTCAATGGTAATGCTTTTGTTTCTGTGTTTTTTTTTTGCCAATTTAACTTGTTCTTGTGTATATTGTTCCAATTACAGGCCTTGATTAGATAAGTTATCTGCTGGTCTCTTCATGCATCTAATCTGATTTTTATTTCCATAACAGGATGACCAATTCATAGACATGGTATACCGGGCACTGCTGAATGCACATCATTCATAATTCAAGGAGGAACTCTTCTAAATCATCTGATGGAATTTCATTACATCTTTTCACCCAGGGCTAAAAAAGAGGATCAAATGGTCGGTGTATAGGGAGTTCTTTGTGTTTATGGTGTCTGTTTGAGACCCGCTATGTATAGTTATATATTTTGTTTCAGTGCATTAGGTTTTGGAGTTTAACCTCTCTGATATATAGTTTCTTTTATCTATGATCTGGACATTCCAATTTTGTTCTTTACAGCATTAAATCAAGAATCATGTGAACAGTCTTTTCAACAGTTGTGCTTATATGGTTATTAATCCGTAGTCCGGTTTAGTACTAAAGATTTAAGAATTGATTGACATAAATATTGGAGTAATATTCTTAATTAATTATGAAGTATAAAAACAATGAATGTTGAATAAGGAGCAGCCTGCACCCAGTGTTATGAATGCTTAGTTTGCTGGGGGAAAATGAGTGTGAAGACAATTAAAGGTGAGTTTTCTAGAGGTACGAACTTTTGTTCGTTGTGATCTATAATGTAAGTTTAGGTTTTGGGTGCCCAGCTTATATGATTATAAATTATATAACTACTATGATTGTTCAAGTTTTAAATTTTATCAAATAAAACATTTTAAAGAGAAATCAAAGTGATCTAAACAGGAAAGAAACACAATTTCCTGTTATAAAATTAGTATTAGTATTAACATTATTAGAAACAAATGAGAGATAATAAGTACTCGAAATAGTTTAAAGATATATGTATCATACATGATTTAATACACGTTTGTGCATAAAAAATTACTAAAATTGTGATAAATAACGAACATGAATCTATAATTTTAAATATATAACAAGTTCAATGTTATGAATTTTAAAATATATAATTTAATATCTGGATTCACCTGCTGAGGTAGTTGATAAATTTCATTCATGTATTTCTTTGTTTGCAAAATCAAAATAGATACAGAAATTGATAATTGAATTCCACATAGATTAGCTAGCTCCAACACATTATCCAAAACAGAAACCAGTCTATCTATAAAATTCCACATGGCAATTAGGGATTGATCAACAACATATCTATGAATTTTATGAAAGAGACAATCCTACTTGTCACCACACATTTCCCAAATATGAATATTGTCCACAGAAATCATCAATTATTTGTATACACTCTTTATTATTCCTAGTGAACGCCCTAACACTAACAGAATACTATTCAGAGAAGAAGAAAACAAGAATGGCAGCAACAATGTCCAGTGTTGTAGGCTTAGCTAACTCATCTCTTTCTGGATTTTCTTCTGCAAAGAAGACTAGCCTCTCCTCAGGTATACCCATCATAATTTCGTCTAAATTCCTTTTATATTTTTTTATGGCTTCCTTTTGTGCAACTCTATCAAGATTATGCATTTGCAAATGAGTTTTAAGTTCTTTGGTACACTTACACCATCATGTTAAGTTGATTTAGAACAATTCATTCTTCGAAAAGAGTTTGACTTTTGTATACACCTTTTTTTTCTTTTCTGAAATCCTCATTGGAGCTCCCACGAATCGTGTACCTAGACATTTTATAGACTATAGTGTGCTATTATTATTGCTTTGAATAATAAAATCTATTATATTTTGTGTTGATAGACTTCGTGAGGTCACCAGTGACAGCAAGAAACCCTTTAAGGGTAGCAAAAGCTTCAGGAGGCAGAGTTACATGGTAAATTACTAAATTAAAAATAGATCCATCCAATTAATACAATGGTTTATAAATATTTCCATATTTTTTTTCCACCTATAGTTGATGATTTATTTTTATGAAATTCAGTTTCCAGAGGGACTGGCTGAGGAGAGACTTGAATGTGATTGGATTTGGTCTGATTGGATGGTTGGCTCCTTCAAGTGTTCCAGTAATCAATGGAAAGAGTCTTACTGGCCTTTTCTTTGAAAGCATTGGCACTGAACTCGCTCATTTCCCTACTGGACCTGCTCTCACTTCTCAATTCTGGTACATTTTTACGTCTAACTCTTTAATTTCAACTTTTCACGTGTTATGTCAGAATCAAACTAAGAAATATTGTATGTGTTGTGGATATTGGACAGGCTATGGATGGTGTGCTGGCACTTGGGGTTGTTCCTGTGCCTGACTTTTGGACAAATTGGATTCAAGGGACGGACCGAGGACTATTTCTCTAAGTAGAGACATTATTTTCTTTTAAATTTTTCATGTATAAATTATAATTAAGCTACTGAAGTATTTGTGGAGTATTTATTTTCTTTCATTCATGCATCTTATGGATAACAAATACATCTTCTCCTTTCCAAGCTTTTCATTTTTATGTTTATTAGTTAAAGCATGATGTAAGAGATTAATGTGTTATCATAAACAATGATACAAATTTAAATATGGAAAATGAAGATCGAATTTAAGATAGACAATTGACAAAGATCAATTAACAATCAATTACAAAATACGATCAAAGTGAACATAAACAATCGAGGAATACTTTCAAGTAAAAAGAAATTCCATTTGATAACATACCTAGTAAAGTTGTATTCAACAATGACAACGGACAAGTAATTTTGATTCAATCTATTCTTGAAATTGAAGAAAGATAAAAAAGATTCGTCAGTAACTTATGACGACAAAACATTCTTCTCTCTGAAAGCATGGAATGTTTAATTTTTTTGTGAGAATAATCATAGTAATGTCTCTTTTAGATTAATTTTTTTAATCAAATAAGAGAAAAGTCAATTCAATTTTTGATAAAAATAAATTCAAAAAGAATACATGACCCTAAAATATAGAATATTAAGGATTATGTGCGTATTTGACTAACAAGTAACCGAAATAGCCAAGTTAAAAGGAACTAAGTAGTCCACACATTACAAAAAAAAAAGACCAAATTAAAGATATAGCTGCCACTTACATTTATAATCTTCGATTGATGTTCAAATTATATATGTGGACGCCTAATTGCAAAAATAACCTTCAATTGAAATCGAAAAAATATTGATGGCTCTCTTAGTTCGTATCACGATTAAACCACATTGACTAATGTATACAACTTAAATATTTCCTTTTTAATTTTGTTGTCTCTTTGGATTAAAAGAATCCGTTTAAATCGACTAATGAAACTGTTTTATAAACAGAAGAACAGAGGCTGACTATGGCCATGTGGAGGGCCACACGAATTACAGAATATTGGTGTTTTCTGGGGATTTTCTAAAAATATGCAAAAGGTAAAAAGACAAATATACCCCCGAACTATCGTAAATGGTATGCAAATACCCTCCGTCATACTTTTGGAATATTGGTGCGCCGTCCAAAAACTAGAGCATATATACCCTTTATACTAATGGACATACACGTGTCATAATCTTATCCACCGATCCGACATTTATCCACGTGTCCCTATTTAGTCTTCCGTTAGAGTGAAGGGCATATATGCTTTAGTTTTAGACGGCAGGGGCACCAATGTCCCAAAAGTATGACGGAGGGTATCTGTATACCATTTACGTTAGTTCGAGGGTATATTTGCCCTTTTTCCCTATGCAAAATACTTTAAGCCGTTAAATGGGGGCCCTTCCTTCTTTTACAAAATCCCTGCCAATTTAAGCCTTCAGCAACGGCTACAATTGCATTCAATATTACTATCTGCTCAAGGAACAATAATGCTGGATAGAGACAAATGATTAGCCAGTAAATGCTTGAATTCATTTACCTTGCGAGTATCAAGTAACTCGGAGTGAATACAACTTGTGCTTTCACTTTATTGATCACTAGGCTACGTGTGATCGTGATTTTAACTCTTGTATATGCTTGAATAATGTCACAAAAGAAACAGAGTAGGTGCATATCAAATAATTTGTGTTACGAAAGTATTTAGCCCTTTTTCTCATAAGCACTCTGATTTGCATGCCAATCATCCATTCTAGTATCTCCGAAACACACAAAAGCCTAAAGGGCTATTTCCCACTTCTCTTGTTCCCTCTTTTTGACTGGTAAAGTAGTTAAAAAACTTGTGCACAGTGGAAAATGAGTTCATCAAGGTCAACTTCTCTGCATAATGATAAGCATATGCAAACAGAGGGCTCTGATGACTTGTCGGTTTCGGCAAGAAAACTGGCTTCTACTCTATGGGAAACTAAACTGAAGGATTTGGAGGAAATGGGTTGGAAAGAAAGAGTTTCCAAATTGGGTTCAGCAGCTCTGCAATTTCATGACCCTGTTTCTGAGGTGGGTTTAAGGGAAATTTGGTTTTTGTTTGGTCATTTTCTTGGAAAAGTTTGTAGCTTTAAGTTCTGCATATTGTGTGTGTGTTTTTAAAATTTTATATTGACGTATTTTGGTTCTTGAATTTTGCAGAGAACGGAGCGATCCAAAGTGCGTAGTCGTCATAGAAGAAGAAAATCTACCAAGGCTGATCTCTCTAACCAAAATGGTTGCTCAATAGAGGTATGCTACTGACAGTTAATCCATTTTTTAGTTGGAGGAACTGTTCTTTATAGGTTTTTGGTTAAAAAAAATAACTTTGGTGTTGGGTTAGTTTGTGTTCTACTAATTTTGTATCTGCTAACTTAACCTGTCCACTAAAGCTTGGACACATGAGAAGAAAGTGTGTAATGTTTTTTGTCTCTACTGGAATTTGAACGTGAGATCTCAGGGTTCTGAGGCCATTTTGTTAAAAATTAGGGGTGTTTAGTGAAGATTCATATAACTGACTTAACTAGCATGAAATTGAGGCAAAGTAGTTGTTGAACCTATCCAAGTTTCCACTTTGGTTTCTCTTCTTAGTGGCGTTTTGACGAGCCCTTTGCCCTCTTCAAAGTTGAATCTTAGGAAATGGACAAAAAATTTATGAACAAAGGAACAAACATGTGACTTGGTTGTTGGTCCTAGTTCAGGTTCTATCAAAGCCGACATGTTGTTTTCCAACACTGAATTGATGTAAGTTTGAAATTTTGTTTTTTATGGAAGTTTTTCTTGTAAGATCTCCGAATCTATCACTTCTCTTAGCTGCTGCTACTTTCAGTTAGCTACTCTATATTCAATTATATGGTTAATACAAGGATGAATATGCAGCTTGATAGGACACAAAATCATGGACAGACTCTAAGCAGACATCATTTGAAGGATGTGTGTCATGGTCTTACCACATGTAAAGAGCTGCTGAAAGTTCTGAGTCATGTCTGGAATCTTAAAGATCAGAAATCTACATGTTCATCCCTTTTTGCAGCTATAAATACAGAGCTTGACTGGTTGTGTGACGAGGTGTCTAAATTGATACGCGAACACAGACATAACCACAGTGAAGTTGATGTCCTCTTGAAGAAGTTTGAAGAAGAAAAGATGGCCTGGAAGGTAAAAGAGCAAGACAAGATTCATACTGCTATTACATCTGTAGCCAGGGAGTTCAAGATAGAGAAGAAATTGAGGAAGCAAACTGAGAGATTAAATAAGAAGCTTGGTAGAGAACTGGCGGATACAAAGGCATTGCTTTCAAAGGCAGTCAAAGAACTTGAAGGCGAGAAAAGGGACAGAGATATATTGGAGCAAGTGTGTGATGAATTAGCCAGAGGTCTCGGAGAAGATAGAGCAGAGATGGAAGAATTGAAGAGACAATCTGCTAAAATCCGGGAAGAGGTGGAAATGGAACAGAAAATACTTCAACTAGCTGATGTCATGCGGGAGGAAAGAGTTCAAATGAAGCTATCAGAAGCCAAATATCAATTTGAGGAGAAAAATACAGTTGTGGACAAGTTAAGGAATGAACTTGAAGCATATTTGAGATCCAAAAAGGGCCAAGAACAAGGCTGTGATTCGCTGAATTATGAAACAATCAATGAGCTTGAGAGACATTTGAGAGAAACGCTTCCAAGCACACACCATTACCGAGATAAAGAGAAGGCAGATGTAGAAATACTCGATAAAGAAGAGGATGGAGACGAAGGTGATTCAACTGATAGTGATCTTCATTCAATTGAACTAAACATGGGTGATAACAGCAAGAGCCATCAATGGTGCACTGCTCTACAGAATGATCCGAATAGATTGTTGATTTCTGATCAAAATAAAGGGAGGAGGTCCATCTCAGAGAAATTCCCAGTGCAAAGCACTTCCTTAGAAAGGGAAACTTCAGATGGCATTGAGTGGGAGTTCTGCGTGGGAGAGAAAGAAAACGTGAACACTATAGATGGAGGAATTTCAAACTTTCTTAACAACGGAGGAACACCAGAATTCTCTTCTCAAGCTTGGAAAAAGGATCATGCAGATGAGACGGAGAGATATAAGATGATCAAGAATCTTTGTGACCGTATCATTTCTGCTTCAAGAATTACAGCCTCTCAAGGCTTTTCTGGTCCAACCAAGAACTGCAGCCAACAGAAATTTTCTGCCAATGATCCTAACAAAGTGATGGTGAGGGCTTTGCCATCTTGCAGGGAGAAACTTGAAGGAATACCAGAGATTATTGCACTGTCTTGCAGGGAGCTACTCGAATGAATGCCAGAATGCCAATTTCAAGAATCCATCATAAACAGCATGCTTCTACAGCCTGATGCTTTTTTTACATAACTAGATGGACATAATTATGTTGTTCTTTGTCTGAATGAAAAGCTAAATATCTGATAATTCAGCAATGTCAACAGAATTTTGAGTTTTGGTTGTTGGATGAGACAAAACAGTTCAAAATTTTGCTAATGTTCTATAAGGAATGAATAAACGTTTTCTCTATTCAATACTATATATGACTTTTCAGATTCTTCATTTCTGTACCTCTAATGACTCCCGTAGTATCAATCCTTTGTGTATTCTTATGTTACGTGCTTCACTGTTCCTACTTCTGGTATGCTTAGCCTACTACATTTCCAGTTGATTCCAGGTAACAGTGAAAGCGAACTGCATGTTGAGTAGTACTCAAGTGGAATTCCACAGATGAAGCATGAAGTTACCAATCTGTGCTTGGTGGAAGAATGTCAAATTCTTGTTGAGAAATTTCCTTTAAGTGATATCCATTTGGAATATCATTTATGTGGATTGAAAGCTTTACAAAAGTCTAATTTAATGTAGATGCAATCTATCATTGGATAGAGAGAGAGAGAGAGAGAGAGATTTTAAATGATCTTTTCTGAACACTCCATCATCAGGTTAAGGGAATGTCTTCCACGTGCTTAAGCTGGTTTAATTTGAACAGTTAAGTACTTTGAGCTTCCTTCATGTTCCTTTATTTTATATTGAAGAAACATCAACAACTTCAAGAGAGAAAGAAAAACAAACAAATATACGACATTAGTAGCAAGATCATTCAAGTTGGTTTACTCTGGGACGGATGCGAGCACACAATGGATTCTTCATCATAACGGTGAATTCCAGCTTCTCAGATAGATCAACATTGTTTCCATCCACAGCCTTCCACTCAAAATGCCAGATCAAATTAGCCACAATGTATTCTAAATGGAGCATAGCCAAGCCATAGCCTGGACATACTCTTCTCCCTGCACCAAAAGGCATCATCTTGATCTGTCTAACCCCTGTTATATCAAACACTTCCTTATCGTCACCGCCCACTGATAAGAACCTGTCTGGATTGAAATCCAAGGGATTCTCCCACACTTGTGGATCCAAACCCATATCTGCAACCATGAAATTGACGGCTACATCCTTAGGGATGACATAACCGTTGAGTTCCACTTCCTCCGTCACCGTGTGTGGCTGCAGGAAGTGACCTGGTGGATGCCGCCTGAGACCTTCCAAAATCACTGCTTTTAGGTAAGGCATTTTCTCTAGATCTTCCTCTTTCAGTCCATCCGGCTTCGAATTCTCTCTGCTCACTACCTCAGATATCTCTTGGTATAGTTTTTCCTGAACAGAAGGGTATTTAACCAAGTTAGCCATGATCCATTGCAACGAGGTGGCGGTAGTATCAGTGCCAGCGGAGAGGAACTCACTGCAGAGGCTGACAATCTCTCCCCGATTAAACTTCCTTTTTTTCTCAGGGAATTCCAAATTCAGCAATGTATCTGCATAAGCCACCACATCTTCCTCAGTTTTTGCTTTCATTCGAGCCTCAATCAGTGGCATAAAGACACTCTCTTGATCTTGTATCAGTTGGATGAGCTCCTTCCATTGCTTCCTGTATATGATCTTTTGAAGTGATCTTGGAAAGAAGCTGAGATTGATGAATCGACCCGCACTTTGCATCCATCTTCGTTGTACATCGTGGATCAGTTTGACTTGAGCCTCGTCAATGTTTTCCCCGAAGCACATCAAGACAAGAAGATAGAACATAGCATAACGAAAATGATCAATCAACCGGATCCCTTCCGTTGCTACAGAATCAGAACGAAGCTGTTGAATAAGGACAGTGAGTACCCGTGATCGGACCTTAGAGTAGGACTTGGTGCAAGAAGGGTGGAGAATTTCAGATACAATGTTTCGACGGAGGACGCGCCATGAGGGTCCATAGGGAGAGGAAGAGATGTTAATTCGGCAACTTTGAAGGCTTACACTGGTCTGAGCGGCCTTTGGGCGGTCAGAGAAAACAGCACCTTGTTGGACTAAAGCTTGATAGGCTAATGAGTGGCTGGCAACAAATATTGAAGGACGACGAAATCCAATTCCAATTCTTAAGTTGAAAATAGGACCATATTTAGTCTTGAGGTCCCTGAGGATGAGTTCTATATCAGCATTAACGCGAAGTAAGCCCGTAATCACAGAAAAAACAAAAGGTCCTGGGGGGAATTTGTTCTGTTTATTGGATTTGAAAGTGATACAGAAAGTGATGATGAGGCTGAGGCTGAGGCTGAGGATGATGAGCCATGACTCCATTATTTTCCAACTCTCTATGATCTGCACCACTTAATTTCTCCACCAAATTGTTGTACAAGTGCATTATTTATGGAAAAAAAAAAGATTCTATTACTGGTGGAGAGTAGTGATTTTGCTCGTGTTTCACGCACAAAACTTAAGAGACAATAATAGCTCCATTTACAATTTTTTATGTTTAGGAAAGCCACACTTGAACTGTGTTGCAGAAAAAGAAGAATACAAAACTAATATATCATATATTATCTTATCTTATACGTAATACGCATCTGACTTTCTCCAAGTTTCTGCTTTGATTGGTGATTACATGGCATATATTAAATTTAAAGGCAAAAATTTGACTGATCAAATAAATTTCTAATCTTGATTTAGATAATAAATATATTAGTATATCAATTTGATTTCAAAAATTGCTATAATCCCCAATCTTAATAAGTAATATATTATCTTGTCCATAAATATAGTAAAAATAATCTTTCTACGACAACAAACACATCAACTTAATAATATATTATCTTGTCCAATAATTTGATAGTTAAGAGCAGTGGCAGATCCAAAATTTTCATTCAGAGGATTCGAAAAATAAAAGTATAAACGTGTAAATAAGTCTTTAGAAATGGAAACCTTGAATTCTTTTGGGTTTAAAACCAAACTTTTAGCACATTTTTTAAAGTAAAAAAAAAAACTAAAAAAACTTGAAAAATAGAACTGAAAATTAAAAAAAAAAACTTAAAAAGAAAAAAATAAAACACTTTCACTGGGATTCGATCTGGTGATGTACAACTTAATTTCAGAAGTACTTGCCACTATGCCATCAGTTTCTCTTTGTTATTGAGGGGTTCAATATATATATATATATATATATCTACAGAAATACAAAAAATTTACCTTATATATACCGTGTAATTTTTCGGGTTCGGGTGAACCCCCTGGATACCACGTGCGTCCGCCCCTGGTTAGGAGTTTCACAAGTTAATATCTCATATGGTCATTCAACTATGCACTCTTTTCTCAGAAAGTCACTCAACTTTGGTTTTTAACTTCAAAGTCACTCAACTATGAGTTTTTTCCTCAGAAAGTCACTCAACTATGAGTTTTTTTCTCAGAAAGTCACTCAACTATAAGTTCTTTTCTCAGAAAGTCACTCAACTTTGATTTTTAACTCAAAAGTCACTTAACTATGAGTGTTTCACTTACAAAGTCATTCAATCTATTTAATTGATTTTTTCATTAAAACTTACAAACATGAATTTTTTATTTCTAACTAAAATTATAAAAAAACAAAAAGATTTTCATTTAAACCATTTACTAACCCGATCCGTTAGAAATATATTATTTTAATTATTTAATTATTTTTTTCAACTGAATTACTAACATGATATTTTTATTTCTAACCAAATTTATTTAAAAATAAAAGGATATTCATTTAAACCAATTAATTAATTTTAATATAGCACTCTAAAATCAACAACATGTAAAGACCATTTTACAAAAAAAATAAAAAAATAAAAAACACATGTAAAGACCAAATCTTAATTAACTTAACGGTAGGACAAACATTAGTAACAAATTCAAGTCAGTTTTTTTTAATCACTTATTTTTGTTCCTTCATTATGTATCGTTGTTACTAAAATTTTGAATTTACTAAAAAAGTAATTTTGTAATTTCTATATTTTATGAACAATGCATGGAGATCGCTGTAATCACTCACAATTGGAAAAAAGGGGTAAAATAAAAGGTAATATATTATATTTTTAGCGGATCGAGTTATTAAATGATTTAAATGAATATCTTTTTATTTTTTAAAATTTTAGTAAGAAATAAAATTTTCATGTTTGTAAGTTTAATGAAAAAAATTAATTAAGTAGATAGGGTGACTTTGTAATCATAGTTGAGTGATTTTGCAAGTGAAACACTTATAGTTGAGTGACTTTTGAAATAAAAACCAAAGTTGAGTGACTTCTCTAAGAAAAAAACTCATAGTTGAGTGGTTTTTGAGTTAAAAACCAAAGTTGAATGACTTTCTGAGAAAAGAGTACATAGTTGATTGACCATCTGAGGTGTTAACTCGAGTTTCACCGACGGCTGACCAAGAGTTATGGATCACTCTATATTCCTATTTGTTTTCGCTGTTTTCCTGTCAATTTGAAATTACTACACATATTATTGGTCTGTTTGATGGTTAGATACATTTATTTAGGATACTAATGCATATTCAAATCTTTCGTTCTTTGATTATTTTAGCATGAAGTTTGACTTTTAACACTTGAATTTAGAATTTAACATACATCAACTGTTTGTGCATTAGAGATGCAACACATATGTAAACATCAACAACTTGAAGAGAAAGAAAAACAAACAACATTAGCAGGTAGCTCATTCAAGTTTGTTTACCCTAGGACGGATGTGAGCACGCAATGGATTCTTCATCGTAACGATGAATTCGAGCTTCTCAGATAGATCAACATTGTTTCCATCCACAGGCTTCCACTCAAAATGCCAGACCAAATTAGCGACAAAGTACTCTAAATGGAGCAGAGCCAAGAGATAGCCTGGACATACTCTTCTTCCTGCACCAAAAGGCATCATCTTAATCTCTTTATTCCCTATTATATCAAACGCTTCTGTATCATCACTTGATAAGAACCTATCTGGATTGAAATCCAAGGGATTCTCCCACACTTGTGGATCCAATCCCATATCCGCAACCATGAAATTGATTGGTGCATCCTTAGGGATGACATAACCGTTGAGTTCCACTTCTTCGGTCACCGTGTGTGGCTGCAGGAAGTGACCTGGTGGATGTCGCCTTAGCCCTTCCAAGATCACTGCTTTTAGGTAAGGCATTTTCTCTAGATCTTCCTCTTTCACTATCTCCTCCTCCTCTGTCACTCCATCCGTCTTCGAATTCCCTCTTCTCATTACCTCACATATCTCTTGGTATAGTTTTTCCTGAATACAAGGGTATTTAACCAAGTTAGCCATAATCCATTGCAATGAGGAAGATGTAGTGTCGGTGCCACCGGTAAGGAACTCACTGCAGAGGCTAACAATCTCTCCCTGATTAAACTTCCTTTTTTCCTCAGGGAATTCTAAATCCAGCAATGTATCTACATAAGCCACCACATCTTCCTCGGTTTTTGGTTTCATTCGAGCCTCGATCAGAGGTATAAATACACTCTCTTGCTCCTGCATCAATTGGATTAGCTCCTTCCATTGATTCCTGAAAATGATCTTTTGAATTATTCTTGGGAAGAAGCTGAGATTAACAAATCGACCCATGGTTTGAATCCATCTTCGTTGTACATCTTTTATCTGTTTGACTTGATGCTGATCTATCTTGTCCCCGAAACACATCAGGACAAGAAGACAGAACACGGAAAAACGAAAATGTTCAATTAATGTAATCACTTGTGTGGCTTCAGAATCAGAACGGAGCTGTTGAATAAGGGTAGAGAGTACCCGAGATCGGACATTAGAGTAGGACTTGGTGCGAGAAGGATGGAGGATAACTGATACAATGTTTCGACGAAGGAGGCGCCATGTTGGGCCATAGGGGAGGGTGGTTAGGATAATTCGGTTACTGTGAATGGATACACTGGTCTGAGCAGCCTTTGGCCTGTCAGAGAAAACAACACCTTGCTGAACTAAAGCTTGATACGCTAATGAGTGGCTAGCAACAAATATGGAAGGACGACGAAATGCAATTCCAATTCCAATTCTCAAGTTGAAAATAGGACCATATTTAGTCTTGAGATCCCTCGCGATGAGTTCTATATTAGCATCAGCGCGTAGGAAGCTGGTAATCACAGAGAAAACAGAGGGTCCTGGTGGAAATTTCTTCTGTTTATTGGATTTGAGGAAGAAAGAGATGAAGAAAGTGAAGATGAGGATGATAACGAGGATAAGCCATGATTCCATTATTATTTCCAATTCTTCTCAACCAAACTGTTATACAAGTGCATTTACATGTTGAATTACTTGTGGAGCGTAGCGATTTTCAAACTCAATAATTAGAGACAATCAGTGGTGGAAGTGTCCAGAAATTGCACAATCAGTGGCGGAAGTGTTTGAAACCCATTAAAAAGGTCTAAAACCTAACTCATTCGATGTATTTGAAACCCATTAAAAAAGTCTAAATCACTGGGCTACAATAACTTATTGTGTTAAGGGTGTCCAAAATATATTATTTAATCAATTCATGTATTATTTTACTTGTATATACGGTATTTTTTTCCGACGAAGGGTGTCCAATTGAACACCGTGACCACCATGTGCCTACGCCCCTGGCATTTGTACATTTTTTTTATGTGATATATTTCGTTTTTTGACATTCAAACAATTTAAGTTTGATAAAAAATTTACTCATGGAATCTTCAATTTTTTTTAAATAAAATTTATATATAAGTAAACTACGTAAAAAGTATATACGTTATAATATTGATAATTCAAAATATTTAAAAGATATGTGAAAAAATTATGATTAAAAATAGATTTGTTTTAATCTTAAAATTCGAAATGTGTCATATAAACCGAGAGAAACGAAGAATTGTAGCGGATGATCTACAAAGATGTTTGACGGTATAGTTGATGGATTTGTGAAAAACAATATATGTTTTTTTCCTATTAAACTTTTCATTACAATATCAAATCACCAAAAAAGATATCTACACATAAGTCTTTTTAAGATGTAAATTTTATAATTTTAAAGATAAATCATATTAATTATTTATTATAATAGATTAAGATTATCCTATAGTAAAATAATTTCATATGCTGACCGTATGTTTAATTTAAAATATTTTTTCTAGTTAAAATGGTGCATCATCCATGAATGGTTATTTCAAGTGATTCAAACAACGATTTCCATTATTTACCATATGCTGGTATTCTTACAAGTATTTACAAACAACTTATGTATTTCAACTTCATGAGAATTTTGAAATAATAGTTCAAAATTGTATTTTATCAACAGTTCTCTTTTCAAACTTTAGCTTTTTAAAGTACATATAACAGTTGCGTAAACGCCAAACTGACTAAAGTACAAAGGACCGCATGAAAATACAGCCAAGTCAGAAGAAAAAAGACAAAAAATCTTATCTCATATTTTTCTGAAAAGGGATAAAGGCCAAATATACTTCAAACAATTGTAAATGGTATATAAATACCCTCCGACATATTTTTGGTCATTAGTATTTCTACTCCCTCCGTCCCTATTTACTTGTCCATATTTCCTTTTTTGGTTGTCCCTATTTAGTTGTCCATTTTGACAAATCAAGAAAGGACAACAAATTTTTTCCTATTATACCCTTATTTACACTTTCTTGAAAATTGTAAAAGTGTATGTTGTTTCCCTCCAATTTATTTCACTTGAATTCAAATAAGTGGTTGTAATTTTGAAGTAAAAAGTTGTCATAAGGGTAAAATTGTAACTTCACTGTGCTAATCATTGTTGCCTTAATCTGTGTGCCATTTCTAAAGTAGACAACTAAAAAGGGACGGAGGGAGTATCATCTAAAAATTAGAGCACATTTGCCTCTCACTTTAACGGAAGAATAATTAGTAACACGTGGCGCAATCCTACGACTCAACTCGATTTGACTAATTAATTAACCCAAAATTCAAATACCCGCCCAATGACCCGTTTAATCCAATTTGGGTGTATCGGGTGGGTTAAACAGGTCATTGGGCGGATATTTGAATTTTAGGTTAATTAATTGGTCAAACCGAATTGAGTCTTAGGATTGCATCACATGTTACTATTAAATTCAGGGTCGTCTCAACCCCTAGGCAACTAAAGCCATTACTTGGGGCCCACATTTTTAGGGGTCCCATTTTTATTTTTATTTTACTTATAAATATTATTTTTTTTTTAAAAAATGTATTGTGAGTGCTATGATTTCTACTAAGGAAATTGCATATGAAATGAATATAAAACCTGAATTTTGTAAGAAATAGTTTGATGAAAAATTTTGATAACGAAATCACAAAGTCCCTTGAAATTAGAGTTGATTACTATATATATAGTAGATCAAGCTATTTTTCCACTTCAAAATAGAATTGAACCAATTGAAGGATATGAAAATATTTTTGATTTCTTATTTAGTGGTAAATTGAGATCACTAGATGAAGAGAATTCAAAAAAATAAAAAATCTTAACCTTAAACTTTCTTTAACACATAATAGTTATTTTGATATTGATGGTTTAAATTTATTTTTTGAATTAAAAGTGCTAAGAGAAATAATATACGTGGAAGAAATGATGTAACGAAAATACTCAATGAAATAAAAAAACATGATTCTTTTCTAAATATACATATTGCTTATAGAATAATGTTAACAGTTCTTGTAACCGTTGTCTCAGCCCAAAGAATTTTTTTGAAACTAAAATTGATTAAATCTTATTTAAGATCAACAATGTCTCAAGAGAGATTGAATGAATTAGCTATATTATCAATTGAAAGGAATTATTAAAACAAATCTATTATAAAACAGTAGCCAATGACTTTGCATCTAAAAAAACTAGAAATTAAAAGTAGATTTTAAATAGGGAAAATTGTACTCCCTCTATCCCTAATTACTTGTCTACTTTTGAATTGACACACTAATTAAGAAAACAATTAATGACATAGTGCGTTTATCATTTTACCCCTATTAATTATGAAGTAGATGAAAAGTTCTACATTTTTAAAAGTAATTAATCATTTAATTGAGGGTATAATAGGTAAAAAAAAAAATATCCTTTCTTGATTTGTCAAAATTGACAAGTAATTAGGGACAGAGGGAGTATGAAATAACAAACTATTAATTCAAATTAAGTATCATAGCCTTAGTTTATTTTATTTGTAATTCGCAGCAAACATCCCATTTTTTTGATATCTGATTCAGTATACAATTAGTCATTTTATACATTTCGGTATAAAATGTATAAAATGCAGCTGTATTTGTATAAAGCGAGAGAAAAGTATATATACAAATACAAATACATATATTTTCATCCTATACACTTATAATTATACAAATACAAATCTTATTATACAAATTACAATGTATAAATGAATTTATACAAAATTGAACAATTTATATAATATTGAATGTATCTAGCGAATTATACAAATCAAAAAGCTCCATAACAAATTTTATTATGCAAACTATAGCTATAACATACAAATATAATTTTTATGTTTGCTATATGTGAAAATTGCTCTTTTAAATAAAAGTATATATGATGAAAAATATAAAATATTAGGGTCCGTCTCTTAAGTTTCGCTTGAGGCCCCCAATCTTATTGAGTCGGCCCTAGTCACTAATTATTCTTCTGTTAGGGTAAGGGGTAAACGTGCTCTGATTTTTGGACGGCATGTGCACTAATAATCAAAAAGTATGAGAAAGGGTATTTACGTACCATTTACGATAATTTGAAAGTATATTTGTTCTTTTTCCCTTCTGGAAATAAGGTAAACATCCAAATTTCTATATATAATACTTTTCTGTTTAATAAAGAATAACTTTTTTTTTCTTTAAAATCTGTTTTAAGAATGATCTCTTTTCACTTTACTTTCAAGTTTTTACGTGGCATGTTTAAGGTCAGGACGGTAAATGGGACCCACACATGCAACTTCCTATAACCTAACAGCGACACGTGTTCATTGGCACGTGAATTCCCCGTGCGACCCCTCAAAACAGAGCATGTAGAATGGGCACCGTTGAAGGAAGGCACCGTTTGCTTCCTTTTTCATTGATTCGCTTCTTTTTCTTCAGAGATTCCAACACCCTTTTTTTATTATTAGTACAAAGAGAGAGAAGAAGAAGAAGAAAGGCGGCGTCTTGAAATTTTCAGTGTTTTTTTTGGTAATTGTATTGAGTTTACTATGGAGAATGGGCATGTATCGTCTTCTTCAAGAAATGAGAGAACACCCAGAAATAATAATACGGAAATTTCAATAGCGACTGCGTCTTCAATGTTTCCTGGTTTCAGGTTTTCTCCAACTGATGAAGAACTCATATCGTATTACTTGAAGAAGAAACTTGAGGGCTCTGATAAGTGTGTTGAAGTTATTTCTGAGGTTGAAATTTGGAAACATGAACCCTGGGATTTACCAGGTACCTTTTCTCTTTTTTTCATATTAACATGATTTGTGTGTGCTATATATGTATGTATATATTATTATGATGGTGGTGGAGGAACCTTGATGAACAGAGTTACCTCTACTTGTGTTGGGTTAGGTCAAGGTATATATGTGCAAGTAGTTTAGAACACCACCATCATGATGGTGGTCGGAGTTATTCGGTACTTGTGTTAGAGTTAGGTCAAGTTGAGATAGAGGGAAGTTGGTTTGAACATCGTCATTCAAATTATTTGTCCAAGTGAACCCATGGTACCTCCGTAAAATTAGATATTGTACGTGATCTAATATTAACTGTTGACACCCATGCTATCAAAAGGTTAGATGGTGCACTTTGTTGAATGCTTTGTTATTTACAATATTGATAGGGATATTGGTATCCATGCTACCAAATGGTGGTGTGCGTATCACAGTATGTATGTACATACGTGTATGTGTAAATGTATAAGTATATATTGTGATGGTTGTAGCCCAATTCGAAACATATGATATCGAGTAAAAGGCTATGAGTGCATCATAAACTTGTTAATCTGGTACGTTTTTCGAGATTTTGTTCAAGAAGTTTGAAGTTTAAAGTAATTTCACAAATATTGGATTATCTGTTAATTTTGATGTTACATTTGTTTTGTTTCTCTTCCATTGGACCACATTTCTTTTTCTTGTAATGTGATTGTTTTCACAGTATATTCATTCTAGATTCTCTTCCCCCCCCCCCCCCCCCCCCCCCCCCCCCCCTTTTTTCTTTAAATGTTATCAAGCATTGAATAAACTTTTATAAAGTGATGATCAGACCAACTATGTTGTATGGGTGGATTGCTGGCAAGTCAAAAACTCGCATGTCTAGAAGATGAAAACAACGAAAAAGAGGATGTTGAGATGGATATCTGTGAGCATACTAGGAGAGACATGATTAAGGACAAAACTATTCAGGATAAGCTGTAAGTAACTTTCATGGTGGACAAGATCCAGGGGCGTAGCTACCCTATAGAATTGGATACCCTTCGTCGGAAAATAATACTGTATATATAAGTAAAATGATATAGGAAGTGATTAAATAACATATTTTGGATATGATTAACAAAAAAATTGTTGTAGCCTAGTGGTTTTAGATGTCTTGAGAGAACCTTAAGTGCTCATGTGTTCGAATCTCACTAGCAACAATCCCCCCCTCCCCCCCCCCCCCCCCCTCTTTTTTTTTGTACCTTAAAACAGAGAAAGTGATGGTAAAATATTCCTTTTTTTTAATCTTTCTAAAAGGTAATGAATTCCTGATGAAACAAATAGGAAAGTATGCCCACACAAAGAAGAAAAGAAAGGAATAACCTCCTCTTTGATAGTCGATTAATAAGATTCCTCCATGCATCGACTTCATCGAATCTTAGGTTGATTGATATTAATTTCAAAGTGAAGAATCTCCTTGTTTTGACAAAAAAGCAATAACAGTGCTTCTAAATGAAGTCATGTTATAAGGGTTAGAAATTTAAACTAAATCAATTTCTTGCTTGAACATATTGCTAGTTTTCCCCGCTGTATCTCTTATATAGTAGACATTGTGAACCTTTCAGCTGCCATGGTTTCAATATTGAAACATCCTCTTTCTACTTAATACAGTTGAAGGAAAATTTTAAGTTGGTTATATGCCGTGATGTATCGATAGTTAGGATATGCAAAGCTAAGCATCTTAGTATGGTCATCACCATACGCTGTAAAATATAAGATTTTTACAGTTGTTAAATAATTTTTTTATAGGGTGCACTGCTTGGAAATTATGAGAAGCATCACATTATGTTACCACCTTTAGCCCTATTCATTTGACTGTTTTTATTAGTTACTATGTGAGTAGTAACTCATACCTACATACTTGTTCTATTAATTGATCAATCCTTCTTCACATGTAACAGATAAATCCGTCATTCAATCAGATAATGAATGGTTCTTCTTTTCTCCTCGTGGAAGGAAGTACCCAAATGGATCGCAAAGTAAAAGGGCAACCGAATCTGGTTACTGGAAGGCCACAGGAAAAGAACGTAATGTGAAGTCTAGTTCGAATATCATTGGCACAAAGAGAACGCTGGTGTTCCACACTGGTCGGGCACCTAAAGGACAGAGAACACAATGGATAATGCATGAATATTGCATGATTGGGAACACTAATTATCAGGTAATTATGAGCTCTGATCCAACCCATAGGGACCGATCCTCCTCATGTGATGAACTCCCTATCTTGTCAGCTGCAACATCAAATCCAACCCCTACTGTTAGTTGTTTGTTCCTTGTGTAAATATGCTGTTCTTATGAATTCTTATATACATATCATCCTAAAGTCCTAATTTTAGCATTGGTAGTTTCTTTTGTTATGTGATACTGAATGGTATGCTCAATTTTGGTTGAAAGAGAGAATAAAAAGAAGGAACAGTTTGGTTGATGTAACAGTCACTCATTAAAGCTCTGCAGCCTGCTCTAATGGTCTTACCAGCTATGCCAAGTGAAAAGTAACTCGAAGAAACAAATAATTTTATTGGTGGTAGGCATTAACATAGCCATAGATACTATAATGTCTCATATGAGGGAAGAAACATGATGAGTTAGCGTGTTGTCACATCCATTTGCTTACTGTTTAGAACAGAAATCAACAAAAAATAAATATGTCTCACCTGGAATGTTCAACCGTATTGCGCAATGTTGTTTGAGTGGTGATATTATTCAAGATAGAAGATTCACTTGGAGCTGCTTCTTTTAATTCGTTAACGTTAAAATCTGGTGGGGATGTCAACACCAAAATTTTATTTCTTGATCAATCTAATCATCCCCTTGCAGAAGCCTTCACTAGGACTTGACGTGATCTGAGATAAATATTAACTGCCTTCCACAACTTTGGAGATTTTTATTGTTCCTATTGTATTTCAGGCTGTTTTTTCTCAATGAGATGATTACTTTGCTGCAATATGCCACTTGCTGAGAAAATGTCAATCATCTACATCAAGAAAGTGCTTTGATTGTTTGGTCTGCTGTGTTATACAGGATTCTATGGTTGTCTGCCGCCTCCGGAAGAATAGCGAGTTTCATTTAAATGACACCCCAAGAAATCAGAGGAATCAACTGGTTGCTACTGAAAGTGCAACTGCTCTGTCTGGAGCAGGACAATTGGGCAGCTTGGAATTGGTCAATGTCGGGGAATGCTGTTCAAAGGAAGGTAGTAGCAGTTTTCATTCTCACTCAGTTGAGCAGATCGACTCTGGATCAGAATCTGATAAACAAACTAAAGAGTTCTCTCAGCACGATTCCTCTGGCCACTTCAAGGTTTTGGTTTTACCGCCATTTTCTGTTGCTCATTTGTAAATGTGTCAAGCATACTTCTATGTGGTCTTGACCCTTTCCATATTAAGCGTAATCTGTCTTTTGGTCTGCTGTATGGGTTCCAGGATTGTGATGTTGAAGAGGACTGGTTTGCTGATATAATGAAGGATGATATCATTAAGCTAGATGATTCTTCACTTAATCCCAGACCTATTTCGATGATCCCGGATAGGCCTGAATCCTCTGAAATATCAAATCACGAAGCTCAAGCTGCGATGTCCTCTGTTGTTCCTTTCCAGGGCACCGCGAATCGAAGACTCAGACAAGTAAGAGAAATTGTAATGAAGTGTAGAGTAAAGGGATCCAAACCGTACAAAGCTATGAAGAAGAATAAAGTCGGAGTGGGCGCGACTAGTTCAGCAAGATGGTTGAGAAACATGCTTTCAGTTAAATGGATGAGGCAATATGTGATACCTATATTTGTAGCTACCTTGATATTTCTGGTCATGCTTCTTAGTTTGTTGGGAGTGTCGCAGCAAGTAAAGCAGCGTAGGCATCTTCTCGTTTTGGCGAGCAGCTGAAGTTCATACCATACTGGTATGTTGTCTAAGTAATAAAGTATTTGGAGTGGAAATTGAAGAATGATTGGTTATGCGAAAAATGAACTAGTACCAAATTGTGTAGAACAGATGTACAAGTAAGTGCTTGTAACAATATATAACCCATATAGTTATATTGTGATCTATTTGGATGCATAAATTGTTGCCTGTATTCTGTTGAATTGCTGGGAATTATGCCTTTCATTATCGGTTATAATCAACGTATAGTCAATAAATCAATCTCCTTTATCTATCAGTATAAATGACTAATTTCAATCTTATGGGCTACGGTGAAAAAGTTATTTATATGAATGGCTTAATTTCAAACTTATCACACATTTAAATAACCTAAAGACTTATATGGAGAACTCATTAATATAGTACTGCAATTTTTGAAAGTTAAAAGAACAGTTCATGTTAAATCGGAAAAAAATTGTATATTTATAAATAATTGAAAATTCTAATATATGAGTTATTTAAATTTGGAAATCCAAAAGCTGCCACATAAATTGGCATTGAGGAGTATCAAATCTTTTCGAATCTCGTGGACAGAAAATCAAAATATTTATTGAGCAATAAACCTATACAATTGTACAGCTAATCTGTCACCGCCGGCGTCTTGCTCGCTACTGTGTCTAGTTACCCATTTCATGTATAGTCTTTTCCCTTTTCCATTCTTCAGCTTTTTCTCACTTGCCATTTTCGTGAAATCTGTGGCATCATCTTGCTCACGCCATAAAAATGACAAAGGAGAGAGGGAAAATCGGGTCGACCCATCTCCCCTCTATAAACCCCAGCCAGAAAAAACAGAGGGTGGCGTTTCTTTCTGAAATCTGTCTTAAAGGTCTAAAACATTGAAATGGAGCGAAATTATATTGGTAATGGTTTTCCTGCGTTCATTAAGGTTTATAGCCCTGAAACGTGCTATCTGAAGCTGGTAATCTCTTCTTTTTCCTAAATGGCATAATCATGTTTGGTCTCCACCATATATGCCCTTTAACTTTGTGTTTTAAATTTGTATTATCCCACATTGTCTATTTTTGGTTAAAATCATATGTTCATACAATGATTCTGTGTGTTTATGTTGCATATTCTTTCACTGGGAATTATGTTCCTTTTTCTTTCTCTTTTTTCCTAGAAAATTCCGTCGCGCTTTCTTGAAAATTTCAACGGGGATATTCCAGTGATCTATCTACTTGAAGTTGAAGGTTCAGCGAGGAGATCTTGGAGGGTTGTTATAGAAAGGATTGAAGAGGACTTCTATTTCAAGGGTGGTTGGCCAAAATTTGTGCAGGATAATAACTTGGACAATGAAGATTTTCTTAATTTTTTTTATGCTGGAAATTCTACTTTTTTTGTAAAAGTATATGGAAAGAATGGCTACTTGAAGCAGGAATTAAATGCTATCGAGGAGCTTGAATTGCATCCATTGGATGAAGTGAATCCTCATGGTAAGTTCCTTTGAACATCTTCAGCTTTGGTGCAATACATCAGTCTTTATGCATAATTTAAAGTCTAAATCCAAAAATAGTAACTCTAAAAAAGAAACCTGTGCAGAGATACAAGTGGCATCTCCCTTAGCTGATGAAGAACTTGATGGATCAGAAAATTCTCTAGTCTCAGTCACGTTATTTGAAATCGTTATGAAGAAATCTAATTTTTCGAAGATGTTGTTGGTAAGTTTATTTATTGCAATTTGCATCCTATATATTCTCAAAAGTGTGTCAAAAAGGCAAAATTCCTGTCTGGTAACTTTTGTTCTGTTGCATTTTTCAAAAACTGAATCAAGATTAGTTGTTGAAATTGTGACTTCAGAAATATAATTCTGTGCTGTAGTGCATCGCCTTGGATTTTAAATTTTAGGGAGTGTAATATGGGAGAATTTTTGAAAGGTATTAATGTGTTTCGTTCCTTAATAATATTTGACAGTGAGAAATATATTTTTCCTTCAGATATTGAAAAAAATTCACTCAAACTTCTGATATGTGTATATGAGTTGCAAAAGATATTAACTCATCATCTAGTTTTCACTTGAGTGTATTTACAATAACATCAGCTAAATGAATCATATTGGTTAAACAGTCTTCTTTGAAGTAGTTGAATATACTGTGAATAATGATGTTAAGTTGTCTACTACTTGTCTGTCGTCTTTTTAATTCATACCATTTGATACTTTGATCACTTGGTTGTTGAATGTGTAATCTGCGCGTTTTTTAATATACATACTTTATGCAGAATTTACCCTCTACATTTGGCAAAAAATATATGAAGAGGGGGCAAGTATTTGAGAAAATGGCTACTCTTCAGACTGATGGCAAAAGTTGGCCAGTTGTTGCTCGTAGTTCTGACAGACTCAAATTTCGAAAAGGGTGGCGCCAGTTTCTACAAGACAATGATTTGCATGTAGGAGATGTTTTGCGTTTTAAGCTGATTGATGAGGAGAATTTTATACTGAAAGTTCTCATTAGGCGCAACCCAAGTCACGTATCTTAGAAATTGAGGCCATTACCTTCGATTGTTAAGCTTACTATTGGAGTTTTGTATTCATATTGGAATTGAAGGTTAATGTATCAAGAAGTTTAAATCATTATTTTGTCATATGGTAAATGCTTTAACATAGTTTAACCACAGCCTGCAGTTCCATTGCCGGCACTGTAAAACTGCAAATCAACTCATTTCAATTTGAAACAAGTACTCAAGATCCAAATAGCCTTGTATGATCAGGTGTCTATGTTGTTTTATCAAAAATATCTGTTTAAAGTTCGTAATGGAAGTTAGTATTGAATGAGATTCCATGTGAATAGTAATGCTGGTGAAAGCATTGAAAATAATAAATGAGCAGTGTAACCTCAGAGACCATCTTGATTTCTCTGTTTTGAACAAAGGAGACTCCTTTTTCATGATCAACTATCTAGTTTATACTGACAATTCATGCAACATGTTCTACATTTTATTAAGTACTAACAATAAATTTGTAGAGAAGTTCGAGCAATCAAATTGTCACCTTAGAACCTTCATCTTGCATCTCAATTCACAGCTCCTTCTGCGGATGTCCTGTATTCCCAGGAATGATTTAAAGTTCCATTGAGTGAGAAAGATGATACCAAGAAGAGTAACCTTACATAACGACTTTCAAGGTGAAGGAGATGACATATCTTGACTTGATGGTATTCTCTGATTTTCACACGGTGGAGGAGAAGGTAGTGGAGGCTCTACAAATGAAGGTGATGGCAAGTCTGGTGGCTGAGGTGAAGAAGGTGATGGTGATATGCTTGGTGGAGAAGGCGATGCTGATGGTGCAGGTAGTGGTAGTGGGGATGATGGTGGCTCGGTAGATGGCAATGGAGATGGTGATGGTGGAGACAAACAAACACAACAGTTGTTTTGTGGAGGGGTGGTAGGTGGTGGAGACGGTGGAGGTAATGCACATTTGAAAGTGGTACAATCAACTTCATTTGACAAAAATCTTTGGCAATCTAATGCAGATCTCTGCATTGGCCTTCCTCTAAGACAATTCTGTTGATCAGCAAATGCATTCAAGTTTAGACAAGCTGGACTCTCTTCTGAAAAGTAATTGTGCTCATAGACAAAATTTTCCAAATTTGGAAGTGTACATATGTTGCTAGAAATCATTCCAGAAAACATATTATGACCCAAATTCAACTGCTCCAAGCTCATCATCCCTCCAATACTATCAGGTAAAGTGCCCATCATTTCATTATAACTTATATCAAACACAGTCACATTCTTCAGCATCCCAATATCATTTGGCAAACATGAATGTAACTTGTTATTTAAGAGAAGCAACTCGTTCAATCTAACCATTTTGCCTATACTAACAGGTACACATCCCACAAAGTTGTTGTTAGCCAAAATCATAACAGAAACTGGCGAATTCCCAAAGTTATCAGGCAACTCAAAAGAAAATCTGTTGTTGTTAATGAACAGAGCATCTAAATCCCTTTCAAAAAGTTGCTTTGGCAATGCACCTTCAAACTCATTGAACCTCAAATCAAGAAACTTCAAGTTAGGCATTTGAACAACCACATCAGGGAACTTCCCAACGAATCGATTATTACTAAGATCTAACTCAAAAAGAAGCTTCAAATTCAAGAAACTCTCAGGTATTGTACCACAAAACCTATTAGAATTTATATGAATCAATGCAATGTCAAATAGTAAACCTAATTCATGTGGAAGTTTACCAGCTATATCGCCATGATTGATATCGATACCAGAAACTGTAAGTTCAGAGGGCTGATCAAGTGAAGGTGAACAAAAAACTCCAGTGTAATTACACACATTAGATCCTACCCAATTCTGTGTTATATTATGAGGATCAGAGAGAATTACTTCTTTCCAAGATTGTAACGCGATGTAAGCATTCTTTAACCTAAAATTCTCAATAGAAAGTGATGGATTGATGGCAAGAACATCACCTTTGTAGGACAACAACTTTCTACTGTTACTTGTTTCAATTGCGATCCCACCGAAAGGATGGTCAATATAATTAGATATTTGATTTGTGGTAGATGCAGCATCGAAGAGAATAAGGAAGATAATAGAATAAAATAATGTGTTTAAGCAACAACTATGAACTGAAAAATGGTAATGCATGTTTTTCCCTAATGATGCTATCTATTTTTTTTTTCCTCCCCTTTGTTGGGAAGTTTTGGGTAGCAAAAATCTCTATATTGAGCTTTGTTTTCAGTAGTAAAGTAAAGAAATGAAGTAGGGTTTTGTTGTTACTAGTTGTTTTGTCTATGAGATAAGTATTTGGATATTTAACTCCAAAACAAGAAAAAGTCTTTGATTAGTTAATTAGATGAGCTTTTTCAGCTTCTTTCTTAGTAATCGGAGTTCTGGTAAAACGGAAATTGAATTTGTTCCAGAATAAATTTTCGTTCAGTCTATTGTTTTTGGAAAAAAAAAAGTTTCTGAAATGACAATGGGTGTGTTCGGGAGTTCATTAGTTATTTCCTTGTGTTTGGTATGTAAGTGCATAAAATGTTATTCTTAAAGATTTGATATATAATTTTCACTATGAGAGGGAAAGAAGAAAGAATTATGAAATGTCATTTGTGAAATTTGTTTTTATTATACTTTTACTAGGTAAATCGGTTTTTCTCATTTAGAAGGAACATGTTTTTTAAAAGAATAAATATTAATCGAACCTGGAAAAATTGAATATTTTCCTCAGGTCTGAACACACCCTCAGAATACGATCAATACATTATTAAAGTAGCAGACGTACTCATCATAACTTAATTTTTTTTTAGTAACATACGTTTATCAATTTATGTACATTATATTAAAGTTAATGTATTTGTTTATTTAATTAATATAAATGAAATTATAATCGTTGGTTGACAATTAACTGACACTTTAACTAGGATTGCTACTACCTTTAATTTAGGTATTGGAATATATATTATACAAAGAACATAGTGCACAAAATTTTATTTTAACTCGTATATGTACTATATCAAAAAAATAAGAAAATAACTGAAATACTGAAATGATAATGGAGAAAAAAGATTAGAATGCAGTATAAACGGGGGAGTTTTATTAATTGTTATTTAAAAAAATTGTGTTGCCAAATCACACAAAGAAAAAATAACAAAATAAAGAAAAAGTCTTTTACTCGTTTTAGAGCAGTTTTTTCAGCGTCATGACCATATGAGTTAGAAACTATCAGCAAGCCTTGCGGCAATTAGCAACAAATTTACGACGACTATATATCATTTATACTCTCCGTTATATTTTCGATCCATCATTATCCCGACGTTACATAAACCAAGAATATAACCAATGGTATAAATGAGCCTTTTGAGTTTTCAGATGTATAATTTTCTTGCGATTTCTTTAAATCAACCTCCTAATCAAATACATCCTATAGAAGAAACCTAGAAAATGTTGAAATTAAACCGATAAAAGGAAAATAATTATCTACATAAGCCTATGGTATTTGATTGACTCTAGAAATTTCATCTACACCAAATAAAGAAAGTAACATATATTGGGTTCGTGCTGGCACCGGCTCTGAATCGAGTATATAATAAAACTTATATATGTAATATGAAGTTTCAATGTATATTTTGCATATTGTTATGCAGAAGAAAAGCATATAATGTTGCTACAATTTCTACAAGTATATCATACCAAAAAATATTGAAATAAAGAGATTGTAAATCTCTATTGACCAGGATATCTTGTCACAAAATAAATTTGTACACATGGAGAGTTACTCCAAACATTATTATGTGCCCTTAATATTTCCAGTGCTTTTTTCCTTAAACTTGCTTCACAATTTGCTTGAATCACCATGCATAACTTTGTCACTCCCCCAACTCTTAACATTTCCATCAACACTTCTTTTGTAGCTGAAAACTTAGCAATTAATCCAAGAATTTGAATTGCACTTTCATCTGTTGCTGGAGAAATCCTAAGTATCTTTTTAGAAACAATTGCAATTCCAGCTGCATGTTTTAGTAATTCTGCTCTTCCATCAGCTAAACTACACAAATGTGACAAAAGTGAAAAAACTAATTCACTTACCCTCTTCTCATTGTTGCTTAATTCAAGCTCAATTAGCTCGAAAACAGCCCCTAATTCGATCATTTTCAGCCTGTTTCGTCCCCTTGGACAAGTATCTATTAGCACATGTAACACTGCTTTTGTTGCTTGTTGAGACACATATTTTACATTGTTTTTCCTCAAACTATTCAACATTTGTTGGAAAAATTCAGGTGTTAGACTCGATAAAAGATTTGTACTTGAAACTGAGATCACATTTTTCAGGACCAGCATTGCATGAGTCTTGATTGATGTTACAACTTGATTATTGTTGTTGTTGCACATTTCACGACTCTTCAAAATCCATAAAATAGCTTCAATTAGATCATGATTTTCCTTAACAAGTTGTTTGTTTTCATGTGTTGGTCTCCAAACAAGATGGAAAATCCTTAAAGCTTCTTCAATTCCCATAATTAATTCCCCTTCCTTAAAACTCCTCAATATAAATAAAACCATAGCCTTAATTGCACCACCTTCATCTAAACACTTCCTATTTTCCTCATTCTCACTTATCATAGTCACCATTTTCCTTAAAGCTTCTAAATAAAGATCGTGATTTTTCACCTGACGAATTAGCCTGATGACATGTGATTTGTTGAGAGGATATTTAGGCGATGGAATTTGCTCAATCCCTTTCTCAGCATTGCATATAGTCCACGATCGAATAAATTTCCCTAACATATGGTTTGGTGTTAACAATGCAGTGTCTCTAGACAAAATTTGCTTTGTCACGGGACACGTATATGCATTTTCCTCCGCCATCAACAACCATGTTTCAATATTTTCCCTATCATATGTAATTCCAGTAACTGTTGTAACTGGATCTTTCATAATTTGGAGTGATATTGGACACAGAAAATATTTGGGTATTTCTACTTCTTCCATATTTTTCTATATGATGAAAAAAATAAACAAGAAGAATCTAACAATATAGAAAATGAGAGGGAAAAAGACAGAGAGAAACAGAGGATTTTTTTAAAATAAAATTAAAGGTGGTAAAAGAAAGTGGCTAAATATTTGTAGATCAAGTTTGAATGGAAAAAGCAAAGGAAGATGCACAAGAAAAGAATCATTTTCTTAATTATTGTTATTATTTTTTTTTTTGTTTTTTGGTCAAAGATTGAATTAGAAGGGGCCGGTCAACACACGTGAAACAATTGAGAAAATAAAAATATACTTGTGTTTGACTTTGTAATATTTTTCCATATTCCAGACAAGTCATAGTGGCCAGTGGGGTTAAAGAGACAAGTAGAACGCATGAGTAGAAACCAGTAGCGGACGAAGATTTTAAAATTCAATTCCTTTTTTTCTAAGTCGGATTTATGATTTAAATTTTACGAGTTCAATCATTATTTTTAGTTTTTGTTTGTTCATAGATTTGAAAAAATTGTTCTAAATGTTGTGTTTTTAATATGTATTTTATTTGGAACTTTTTTATTTTTGGGAATAGAAGTCCAAAAAACTTATCTAAGCCAATTTTTTAGAGTTTGTTTATATTGACTAGTTAGCTTATAACTTATAAAAGTTCATACATTAAAAATTCTAACGTACATTAGTGATGGTAATAGGTAAAACAATAAATTTGTATATTTTGTAGAATGGTTTACCAGAGTTGGAACTTGGAAGGTCAGATTCAAAATTGGTTATTAGCTTAACCTGTGCCTCACGTTAATATCCAAATACATGATGCATGCATGCACTAAAAGAACATTCCATTTTTCTTAGACGACTTAATTTTCTAGTTGCATGCATTTACCCCTTAATTATTCATCTCATGATTAATAAGTAGAAATAAAACAACCTTTATTTTTTAGCTGATATATATAAAGTTTACATCCAAATCGATTCAACCGATAAGCGCCACTAATTTTATTTGATAATTTTTGGACAACACACAAGCGACAAGAGTAAATTATTGTTCTTTGATTTTAATATTACGAGTCTTATCAGAATTTGGACTTCAAATATATGTATTTGAACGTGTCAAATACATAGAATCGAATTTAGGTGTAATTTGTTTTAGATATTGTATCCAAATGACCCTTCGGGGTGGCCCGGTGGTTTGAGCTTGGGACTTCCATGTTGGAGGTCTCAAGTTCGAAACCCCTTGCCAGCGAAAGCAAGAAGTTTGCCTTCTGGGTCGAGCTCGTCGCACCAGGCTTGCCTAGTGCGGTTTACCTCTCCTATGTGGTTTGCGAACTATTGCATAGGAGCGGGGGTTTTACCCTGTGCGCACCCAAAGGGTAGCGGCTGCGGGTTTCCCTTGTCATCAAAAAAAAAAAAGATATTGTATCCAAATGAATTCACATGTATCTGACTCTCTCACTTATCTCAATTATACACCTTCTAATAATAATAAAAATTAATGGGTCAGAGAAGAGCGTGGAATGTAATAGCGGAGGGACTCCGGCGCTCATCGGACTAGAAATATACTCCTATTATTTTCACATAATTCCAATAATAATTAATTATTAAAATTCACGATCGGCTTAATTAATTTAATTATAAACTATTCAAGTAACTAGACAAAACTCTAAGACCCAAAGGTTTACCTAGCTAGTGATAATGTGATTTTTGGAATATTTATATGAGTTATACCTTCAAAGTTCAATACAAAGATATCGTATAAAAAAATTAACATCATGATCGATATAGAGTTGACCTTCAGCAATATATTACTACTATTTTATTGTAAACATGACATAAAATAATAACCTTTTATACAAACGATTAAAAAGATTAAATTTCATTGATAACGTAAAAATGATCGCATAATTGGTAAATATAACTCAAATCCTACTCCCTCCATCTCAGTTAGCGCCACGTTCAAGTTTTAAGAACCTAACGAATTTATTTTTTACTACAATTTTGTATATATTTTAAATATTTTGAGTTATCAATTATCTTGAATTATAATATATATTTTTTCACAGTTTTCTTAATTATTCCAAAAGCATAATCAAAATTAGAAAATTTAATTCTCAAAATTTTACCCGTGTCATATAAATTTGGAACAGAGGAATAGTATTTATGAAATGTAT